GAAGGTGACTTTAACGCCACAATTAAGGTGCGGGTGTAAGGATCAGTATTAGGAGACATTGTAACGATAGATACAGACAAATCGTACAGCTACTCAGCTCAAAGGTGGGAGTTGCGCCAAGAAGAGTTATGCCGAAGCGCCGAGATTAGCGTGGGACAAAACTTTTGTGAGGCACCTCCGTACCGAGACACCATATATCCCTCACACTCTATCCTTGGCAGCCCAGAAACAGCTGCGTCTTCACCGGCCTCCAGGGAGCCCCCATGTCTCCTCATATGCCCACATATACGCCCACGCTCCACCCGTACAGCCTTTTCCCACGGCTATATCGTAGAGCTTCGTGTCACAGGTCTAGTCGTCCACCTCCAACCTGCACCTTTATTTCCAAGCCAATCGGATTCTAATCCTGTCGCTTACCCTGGAGCGTGGGCAGCTCGTCCATGGCCTCCTTGATAATGGCCAGCGCTGACTCAATTTCCTGCTCCGTGATAACCAGCGGTGGCGCAAGCCGGATAATGTTCTGGTGCGTGGGTTTCGCCTGGCCGTCATAGTCAGCACCGTCAACCTCTTTTACATGCATGATCTTGAGGGCTCTTCCTACCAGTAGTCCCTTCTCTTTGAAGAGCATGCACAGATCCCACGCGCTGTGTCCATTGGTCCGGCTCTCGTCAATGACAATGGCGTTTAGCAGACCCTTGCCTCGGATCGTCGTAATCATAGGGCTGTTCATGTTCTTGAGTCCTTCGCGGAACTTGTTGCCGAGCGTCTCTGCCCGCTCAATCATGTTTTCTTCTTGGATCAGTTCAAGCGCCCGGATCGCAACAGCCGACCCCAGAGGGTTGCCGCCGTACGTCGAACCGTGGGTGCCCGGCTCGACAGTAAGCATCACTTCCTTGGAACCCAGCACACACGACACAGGATACATGCCGCCCGAGATGGCCTTGCCCAGCAGAACCAGATCGGGCTTGATGCCGCTCCACTCGTGGCAGAGCATCTTGCCCGTTCGCGCAATGCCCGTTTGGATCTCATCGCAGATCAAAAGCACGTTGTGCTTGTCGCACAACGCCCTCACCTCGCGCAGATAGCTGTCGTCTGGAACCACAATGCCAGCCTCGCCCTGGATGGGCTCCACCAGGAAAGCAGCAGTGTTCTTTCCGTGCTTTTCTAATGTCTCGCGAACATCGTCAACGTTGTTGTAGCGAATCGGCTTGTTCGTGACCGGGCACACACTGCCAATGCCAGGCAAGTATGGACCGTAGTTGTCGCGAGACTCGGGGTCAGTAGACATGGTAATGGCAGCAAACTAGCATCTCGTTAGCTCGAGCACAGTCTGTTGAGGACGAGGAATCAGGAATGCGCACCGTCCGGCCATGGAAGTTTTCCTGCACCGAGAAGACGAGGGCCTCGTTCTGCGGAATGCCCTTGACCTTGTATCCCCACTTGCGCGCAATCTTGACTGCCGTCTCGACGGCCTCGGCGCCCGTGTTCATGGGCAGGATCATGTCGAAGCCAAACAGCTTGGTCGCATACTCGGCGAAGCGGGGGAAGACATCGTTGTAGAAGGCCCGGCTGCTGAGCGTCAGACGCGAAGCCTGCTCCGTCAGCGCCTTGACGAGCTCGGGGTGGCAGTGGCCCTGGTTGACGGCGCTGTATGCAGAGAGGAAGTCGAGATAGTGCTTGCCCTCGGGGTCCCACACGCTGCAGCCGCTTGCCCGCGCAAAAACTGCTCCTGGTCAGCTCTCGCCGTGCAACGTGCATGCCGTGCATACTTACCAATGGGCAGTGGGTGGTAGTTGTGGGCTGCAAAGTCGGCCTCGGACTGGATGGACAGGTAACGTTTAGCCGACCGCCACACCGACCAGACGGCTGTCACCCACGTCTATATTGCGCGCTGTTCCAGTCAGTCTGGCGCCGTCTGCCTGTGTCCTTCAGCTCAGCTCTCTCGCCAGACTTCCCTCTGCGCTGTGCCGGCCGCGAATGCGTCGCGCGCCCACGAGCCAATGGCAGGGCGGGCATAGTGATGGCCCGCTGGCAGCCGAGGCGCTCGTTGGTCGCGTTCCTCTAAAGGCATCTTGAGGCGATAGTACCAGTTGTTCTTAGCAACGACTTCCTCTAAGTACAGTTGGAGGCGATCAGCGGCACAGCGCTCAACCCGCCAGCAAAATAAGAAGCCCGCCGCGGCCTGTTTTTTGCCTTTTCACTAGCAACTCCCTGCCTGTCTACGTCTCGCCATCCAGACATACATATACAACACCGACACCCTCCCCCCCACTACCCCACGTTAGCATCCCCGACAACCACCACCACCACCATGGCTCCAGGCGCAGTCCAGCACGATACCACGCCTGCGAATAGCAACAACGGCACCGCGCTGAAGGCTACGGCCCGCTCGTTTCACCCCACCGGCACCCCAGACCCAGCCAAGTACCACGCTGCGTCGTCACAAGAGGTCGTCGTTGAGTGCGCCATTTCCCCGGCCGCTCGAGCAATCACAGCATCCCAAGCTCCGCCAGCAGATAACACGGTCGGTTCGGATAGCCTTTTTTCCTGGCCTCACATCCACCCAGCCCAGCCCGTACATACACGCACATCCAGCCATGCCAGCGGTATCCCAGCGCCGCCCGCCATGTCCACCAGACCGCTCTGGCAAAAGGCCCAGCCCATGCACTGGATCCTCGACTGGGACGGCACCATAACCAGGCGCGATACCCTCGACGCCCTCGTCGCCATCTCCGCAGCTCACAAGCCCGCCTTCCCCACCATGCACCACTGGCAGCGCGTCTCGCAGGCCTACATGGACGACTACAGCGCCCTTCCGCCAATCATTGACGCCGAAAAGCGTCTGGTGCGCCAGCAACGGGACGTGGAACAGCGCAGTCTCGACCGTGTACATGCCTCTGCCATCTTCAGCGGCCTCACCAAGCAAGCAATCGAGGAGGGAGCAAAGCACGCCATTCAGGCCAGCGACGTCCAGCTTCGCCATGGCTTCTCGTCGTTCCACCGCCAGTACATCCAGGCGCGCCCGAGTGCCGCCTTTGCCATTCTAAGCGTCAACTGGTCCCGCCACTTCATCCGCTCCTGTCTCGCTGCCTCGGGCATTGCCGTGCCCGAGCACGCGGTTCTGTCGAATGAGCTCCATGGCATCGCCGCTGGAAACCCATCTTCCGGTCGTATTGTGTCTGCCGTCACGGGCGACGAGGTCACTATTGTGTCGAGCGGTGACAAGTTGCAAAAGTTCAAGCACATGCAGCAGAGTAACAGGCCCAGCGTCTATGTTGGAGACAGCCCCACAGACATCGAGTGCCTGCTCGCTGCTGATCTGGGCATTTGCATCCGCGACGACCCCATGGGTAGCTCGCAGAGAAAACTCGCAGAGGCGCTAGAGACGCTGCAAGTCGCGTGTCCTAAACTGAAGGACTGCACGCAGTTGGGCGAGCGTAGTGTCGTATGGGCTACGGACTTTGCCGAAATTCTCGAGTGGTTACAAATAAATTCATTATAGTCATTTATTATACATGATCAAACGCCACTACCTAATGATACACCCATCTCAGCCTGTCATCGACGCCAAACGCACTCGCTATGCTAATCACGCAAATCAAACTTCCGTCTCAATTCCGGTCCCGTCTCGCTCATGGTGATGGAATATATTCCCCATCTTTCTCTTTCCCCTTTCACCCACGTGCTTCATCCAAGCCAACGTCCGAGGTCCCTTCCACTGCATGATGCCCTTGTTCCTGCGACGCAGCGGCTTGCCCGAGTCTTTGTATTCCTTCAGCTTCCTAATTGGGCCTCTGCCCTTATCCATGCTCAGTTTCGAGTCTGGTCTCTTGTTCTGAAGGAAATTGGGCGTCATCTTGCTACCAACACTCTCCTCGCTATCATCATCGCTGTCCGACGAGGAAGAAGAAGATGAAGAAGATGAAGAGTCAGAACTGTCCTCATCATTATTCTTGCTGTCATTCAGACCTGGTTTGTCCGAGCTGTCCGATTCCTCCCAATTTGTCCATTCCTGGTCGTTGGAGGTATCCAGGACTTCCATGACGTTGGTGAGATGCTTGTCCCCCTTTGCGAGCTTCTCGTGGTAGCCAGACAGGCCAGACCACATTGTCAGTGTTATCTCAATCTCGCCCACCTTTTCGCCGTACGACTCGAGCACGTTGTCCTCTGCGCGCTTCAAATCGCCCTTCCAGACGGCGAGCCGCTTTGTCTGTTCCTCATTGTCTGGGATGTCCTTGAGCCAGAGGATGGCAAATGCATGCGTGCGGTCTCTCAACGTGGCATCCTGTCTAAACTCAAATATCAACGGTGCACAATAGCGTGCACGTACAGGCAAGCGGATAGGTCTATTTTTCCGCGAAGTCCACACAGTGTGTCCGTCCTCTGAACGCACGTGGCCGTTGCGCCCGCGTGAATGCAGCTTTGCGTGTTCCAGCCGTGTGCGAACCTTGACCCTGAGCGGCTCTATATCGTGCGGCACATTGATTGCTTTGATGCGAGGTTGAATATCCACAGTCCCGTAATCCCAGCCCATCCATTCCCTAGGAAGTTGAACTTGCACACTCCGGAAAACCATGGAGATCCGTATACGTCCGTAGCCAATCCCTCCAGCAAGGGGGAAAATGGAATTGATCTGGCTGCGTTCACTGAAAACTTTCTCCAGGGGTAGGTAGACAATACCAAGCAAAGAGTCATCTTCGTGGACGCGAGAATCCCGGACGGCCACATGCACTTCAGTATTACGCACATCCCGGATAAAGCGCTCGCAGCCAGCATTGAAAAAGGGCTTGGAGTTCTTTGGCTTGGTGCGGGTTTTGAAAACCTTCTTGTGGTTGATGATGATCGTGCAGTATGCCGAAGGGAGATCATCGCCCTCCTCCTCCTCGTCAGTGGCTTCTTCGTTTGCCGAAGCCTTTCTCTTACTCGGTTTTTCCAGTTCCAGCCCAGTGATTTGGTGGATCTGAATGCTCAAGATGCCAGATGGATAGTCTTGTGGAGGTGGAGAAGCAATGATGAGTTCATCCTGGCGGTTCTTGAAATCTTCAACCTTCTGTTGCTCGACTTCATCCCGGTGGTTTTCGCTTGCCTCTCGCAGCTTGCCTTCTGCTTCCTTGTATACCTTGTCTTTCAGCTGTTTAATCGTTTTCACATTGGGGTCCTCATCTTGCATGGCCAACTGGTCGTTGGTAATCCTTGTCTTCGAAAAGTAGCCAACGCTCCAGCTCAATTTGCCCGGCATTTCTGCGCCTGCTTTCAGGGCATGGAAACCGTCTTCGCGGTCATGCATCTTGCCGTTGGTTTCGTCGCTCTTCATCAATTGCTTGAGATCCAGCTCAATGCGTCCAAGGTCGTCGTCAGCAGTCGTGCGATCCGAGTCCCAGAGTTGGATTCTCAGCTTTTCGTCGACGTTTAATTCGTTGACGGTCACGCACACGAAGCAAAATTCGTCCCAATGCGGCTCCATGTTTCTTTTCAGAACGCGCGTGGACCAAACTGGCTTTCCAAACTTGGCCCACCCAACACTCACATATGGGTCTGCGGAACCACCAAACGGACCAATTTTCATGTCTCCTTCCTTGAAATCGTAAGCGTGTTTGATATGCACCATGATCACACCCTGTGTAATCGTATCTTTCTTAAAGTCGTCTCCCATCATCATGTCCTTGAGATCCAATGTCAATGACTTGGGAGCGACGTATTCGGCCAAGGCGGCATCCATGGATGATTGAACAAAGTTGGAAAGTAATGGTACGTCCATGAGGTTTGGTCCCTTCTTGATGAGCGGCACACAAGACATGGTCACTTTCGGCTGGCCGATAAAGGACATGGTGCAGATGGAGAAGAAGGGGGGATCAGGACACAACTGCAGACGGAAGCGCACAATACCGATCACTCCTACAAGGTCGACCCAGACAGCTTTACTACGTTAGTGAATTACGAATATACGGAGCAGACCAAACTCACGTAGCTTAATGTTGCCTGGTAGATAGAAGGCTAGCAGCAGATGCGCGTGTTTTGCACGGGACTTGACGCCTTTTCCGGTCGAGGGTCTATACGCAAACCCAACTTCCAGGTTGACAAAATCACCATCTTCAGCCTCCATGGTATCCTGCTGCGGGGGCTGATCTGGACCTTCGCCATCGTCTGGGACGGTGCGGTCTTTATTCTCCTCATCTGAAGTCTTCAAGTTTCCGTCAGAGCCTACTGACCTGGCAGCTGCGCCCGTCGGAAGCCAACGAATGCCCAGGATACGAATAGCTTCGCTGCCCTGGCCGAGATCTTCGACCGCCACCATACGAACCATGCTCGGAAGAGAGGCTTGCATGACATCCTACATACAACTGTTAGTTGAAGCAATCAGTATACTCATGGCTTTGCTTACCTCAAGCGTGTCGGAGATGCTCGTAAACAAATCAGGATTGATCAATGGCCATACCGAAGCGACGAGTGAGTTTAGCCACTGCGTACTTTCGGCGGTCTCGGTCTTGGCCAACTGCTTGCCACGTTCGCCTTCTGCTCTCCAGACTTCGACATCCCACACTTTCTCGATTTTGTTTTCCGACCATTTACGCATGAACAATATGATGGCCCCAGAAACAACCGCCATTGTGCCGAGCTCGATCATCTTGAGAAACTGCCTTGTCCAGCCTGTGGAATGACGTGTTGGCCAGAACAAAGCGTTGATCAACATCAAACTAACAGCAGCGGCACCTACGCCGACCGTGACGGCCTGCATGTAGACGGTAGAGATCTCGTCTCGCGTCCGGTCAAAGGACGGAGGGGGGAACAGGACCTCGAGGCCTTCATGTGCTTCTTGCGACTCCTGGCCCTCGGCTTCCAAGTGTTCGCCAGTTTTCTCAATGGCTTCAGTGCCAGTCGCTGTTCGTAGGTCCGCGCCGGGGGGCGGCGGGTTTTTTGCCGTGCTCTTCAGCTCGTGATCGGTGAAATCATGAACTCTGAGGGGTAGATGGGTAATTGGGTCGGTGACAAAGCGTTCTGTGCCATCGGCCTTGAAATGCTTCATCTGTTTGCGGGCCTGCCTGGGATCTAGTGATTGCAGGCCGCCCTCTGTCGTGTCTTTCATCTCTTGCTCACCATCCTGGTCCTGGGATGCATCTCTTTGGTCGTTTTTCGGCACTGTCTTGCCAGCGTGGTCGTCGGCAATTTCTAGGTCCTGCGCGAGGTTCTTGTTGGTGGAAGGGTACGGCCCATTGCCATCGTTGGCCAGCTCTACGTCCCTTCCATGTCTGAAGACATTGACGGCGTCGCCGAGCCGGTCGCGTGTGCTTGGTTCGTTGCTCTCGCCATCTGCACTGCCATATGCTTCCTGTCTCCTCTGCTTCTCCTCGCGGTACTTCTGGACGGTTGGTATTGGGTTGTGCGCATTGTGGGGCCGCCGGTAGTTCTTGCGCTGCGCATCTACGTCGTCGACGCCGGACATGGTGGTGGTTTACGCAGTCTGCAGGGCGGTCGAGGAGAAGGAAGCAGAGGAATGGGCGAATGGCCGGTGATACATGTGCACGTCCAATGGTCAGGAAACAGGAAAAAGGCGGCGTTGCAGGTTGGCCGGAAAGCCGCAGGAGCAGCGCTCGCGTGCAGGGCAGGGATAGATTTCCCAAAAGTCCATGGTTGACGTAGGCACGCGTCGGTGTTTGGACGACATTGGCCATGGGCAGCCCATGCTGCTCCACTTTGGGGCGCCGCAGAGCCACAGCTCAACGTTAATAGCAGCCGATGACGTCGCCGCCTCTCTCAGCCCACCAGCCACTTTGCGGCGGGGACTGCCAAGCCTCTGCCCATCTCTGCTGATGCTTGCAGCTTGCTTGGCCCCCCGCCCAACTCCATCGCTCGCTCGCTCAACCTTCACCCGCAATACCAAGTCATTAGTCACCTCTTGTTTCGGCTACACGTGTAGACGGAGTACACAGGGGTATCATCATTGCGAGCTATCGTCGTAGTATACACCTACCGACCGCTTCTGGTCAGTTGCTCCAAATCCGTACTTGCTTGTCTGCACCCCCACTACCCACCCGCTCTCCGTCCGGACTCCAGTCAAGCGCAAACACCTGGTCTTTGTGTCCTGGCAAGTCTTCCTTGAGCTTTCCGGTCCTCATGTCCCACACCTTGAGCGTCGTGTCTTTGCTGCAACTCGCCAGCAGCCGGCTATCGGCAGAGAAGCACGTCATGTATACTGGGCCGACATGTGCCCTTAGTGTGTTGAGGAATTTTCCGTCTCGAGCTGACCACAGCTTGACGTGGTTGTCCCAGGCTGCAGATGCCAAGAGAGCTCCATCGGGCGAGAAGGTTACTTGGTTGATCTGCTTCTGGTGACCCGTCATTCGCGTGACTGGCTTGGTGCTGGTCAAGGGCGTCCACAGCATAATTGTGCAGTCTTCCGAGGCCGTCGCCAGCCGCTCTACCACTTCGCCATTGATTGTCGCGGCTTTCTCGAACCGTGCCTTGGCTTTCGCAAGCTTCTCCTCCTGGCTTGCTGGCACCTTTCGTGTATGGTCATGATACGAGGTTCTTAAGACAAAGTCTGTCGAGAGCGCGAGATGATTGACCCAATGCGCGTGGCCTGATAATGTGTTGATGAGCGTCCCCTGCGCTGCGTCCCAGACTTTGATAGACTTGTCGTGAGAGGCAGTATACATGCGTCCAGTGCCACCCCACTTGACGCAAGTCACGCTGCCCTTGTGGCCTGAGAGCGCGAAATCAATTCTGCCGCCTATCGCGTCCCATACTCTTACTGTGCCATCCTTTGAAGACGACGCTACCCGGGGTCGGCCAGGCTCTTGTAGGTGATAGGGCTCCCAGGAGAGGGATGTAATGAATCCGGTATGGCCCTTGAGCGGGCCTCCAATCTGCTTTCCTGTGTTTGGATCCCATATCCGCACCTCATTGTCATATCCACCAGACGCCAGCAGTGAGCCGTCGGGTGAGTAGCTGACTGCCAGGACCCACCTCGAGTGTCCCTTCATCGTGTGCACTGGTGTTCCCGTGTCGCAATCCCATATCCTCACCGTCTTGTCTCCGCTTCCGCTCGCCATTCTGCTAGAGCTGACTGGCGAAAAGTTTACCGACAAGATGTTGTCGCCATGACCCGACACAGCGGCCGAGCATCGTGAGACGGCTTTTACCCGAAACACAGCCTGTGGTGCGTATTGGAGCACAATCTCGGATTCCGCTGATGCCTTTCCCGGTTTAACCAGCGCGTTGTACAAATCATCCTTGTCCGCAAGTGCCTCGGTCGCCTCGTCGGGGAAGAAGCGGTACGGTATTGGGTCCTCGGCCTGGTCTTTGAGGTTGTTGAGAAGAAGCTCTAGGTTCTTAGTCGATGCTTGCGACAACGGGACAGTGAGAACTGGAAGGTCACCGCTTTCGCCTGTGGCCTGGTCGACGAAGCGCACTCGCACTGTGCCATCGGGTATCGACGTATCAATGTTTTGTTGCTGTCGCGCGACTTCAGTTTGCTCTCGCTTCTGGCGCTTCGAGGGAGGCGGAAATTGGGTCGCCATGTCTGTGAAACTGTCGGGTAATAGCTGGGAGGTTCAAAAGCCCAACCTGGCTGACTTGTCTTCAGCTTGGAGAGACCCCACTGGTAAGTATGGGAGTGCTGGAAAATAATTTCTGGGTGTTATCGATAACGCCCGCGCTAAAGTGCGCGCTAAGCATGCACCCCTCGACGCGTCTTCCAACGGCTCTGCTTTACCCATCTCGACTTGAAACAAGCCATCTCAAGTGAATGAGGCAGGCGATACAAGTCAATGCTCGCATACTAGCCACACAGCACTAACCATCATGTTTCAGCGATCCGGGCCGTCGACCTCGCGCAGCACATCTACGTCCATGTCATACGCATATGCTGACTACGATACCACTACGACGTCACGCTCAGGAACTCGCAGGGCCACAGGTAGGCCTTCTACAGCAAGACCACGGACCGGGGCTTCCACTATTGCCAGGGTCGAAAACCAGCATGTCGTCTGTGCCATTGCCGAATCTCGTGGTATCTCGCCTACCGTAGGCTTGGCCTTTGTGAACCTCGACACGGCAGAGGCAGTCCTGTGTCAAATCTGCGACACCCAGACCTTTGTTCGAACAGTCCACAAGTTGAGAGTCTATGGCCCTTCGGAGATCTTGATTGTATCGACTGCTGCAAGTCCCAAGTCAAAGCTCTTTTCCATCGTTGAGGAAACAGTCGAAGACATTGGCAGCAAGCTAACCTTGCTTGATCGGCGCTACTGGGCCGAACTGACTGGGTATGAGTACATCCAAACCCTGGCATTCAAGGAGGATGTCGAAGCAATCAAGATCTCCGTCACTGGCAATTATTACGCCGTGTGCTGCATCGCGGCGGTGAGTCCCGGGGTGCACTTTTGAGTGCACGCAATGACCAAAGGTGCAGGCACTCAAGTACATTGATCTTGGCCTGGGTATGGTCTTCGCTTTACATTCACTCAGGATGCGGTATGAGCCCTCTGAAGGATCAATGATGATCGACGTGTCAACCATCTACTCGCTTGAACTGGTACAGAATCTTCGCGACCCCAAATCCAGAGACTGTTTGTTCGGTTTGCTCAACGAGACACTGACACCCATGGGCGCACGACTGCTCCGCAGCAACATTTTACAGCCGCTCACCGATGCAGATGTGCTCAGCATGCGATACACTGCTGTTGGTGAAATGATTGTGAAGGAAGAATTGTTCTTTGCGACCCGGGCAGCCTTGAAAAACTTTCTTGACGCTGACCGAATACTGACAGCACTAATCATTACGCCAAGCAAGATTACCTTCAAGACAACAGAGCAATCCATTAACCAGGTCATCATGCTCAAGCAATTCGTCAACTCTGTGAATCCTGTCTTTGAAGCTCTGACTGGAACTGCCTCTGCTATGCTCAGCAACATTCGGGAGCTCTGTGCACCGGAGAATGTAGCGCCTGTACAAGAGCTGATTGATCACATCATCAATGAGGATACTATGTATGCAAGGCAACCGCTCGAACTGAGAAACCAACGTACATATGCCGTGAAGTCTGGAGTCAATGGACTGCTTGATGTTGCTCGCACTACTTACAAGGAAGCCACCGAAGATGCATATCAGCACTCGATTGAGCTCAGTCGTAAGGCAATGGACATGCCAACTGCCGAATTTACTTGCTGACCTCAAGAAGAGGAATACGATATCAGGCTAGACCTTAAGTACGAAGCTGCTCGACAGTTTTACATCAAGATTTCCCTGTCTGAGCTCGAAGACAAGACGCTGCCACCAGTCTTCACCAACGTAATCCGCCGCCATAAAAACATCGAGTGTCAGACGGTGGAGTTGATGAAGCGCAACCAGAAAGTACGCAGCCCCAGATAATGGATTGACGCTTGCTAATCGTCAAAAGATCAACGTGTCTCACCAAGAAGTGATACTCATGAGTGACTGGATCATCTGCACTTTAATTCATGCTGCCACTAATACAATATAGGCGATGAAGCTGTCGGAGATCTCATTGAGCAATTGCGCAGCCACATGTCAATCTTGTTCAAAATCTGCGAAGCTGTAGCAATGCTAGACATGGTACTTGTTTTCGTTTGTCTTGTAAAGTCAAAAAGGCTCATCTGTCATAGATTGGAGCATTCGCACATCTAGTGACGGTGAGCAACTATAGTATGTGCCTTGAATATTCCTATATCTGTCTGTACTGACAACAGGTCAGCTCAACCACAGCTCACTGACACATTGGCCATCGAAGCCGGGCGCCACCCGATCAAAGAAAAGATTATGCCAACCAAATTCATCCCAAACGATGTCTACGCTACACAGCAGACACGATTCCAGATCATCACTGGCTGCAACATGAGTGGCAAGAGTACATATATACGCTCACTAGCTTTGATGACTATCATGGCTCAAATTGGATGCTAGTAAGTTAATATTCTCTCATTTTCAAGTTATATTATTGATCATCTACAGTGTCCCTGCCAACTACGCGTCATTTCCAATCCTGCACCAGCTCTTTGCCAGAGTAGGAACCGATGATAGCATTGAGACAAATGTTTCCACTTTTGCTGCTGAGATGAGAGAGATTGCTTTTATACTGCGCAACGTGGATCGCCGCAGTGTGTAAGATAAGACATCAACTAGATTACAAGAGTACTAATCACGTTCCAGTGTGATAATCGATGAGCTAGGTCGTGGCACAAGCACGAGAGATGGTCTTGCCATTGCTTTGGCTATCGCAGAAGCCCTTGTCTCAAGCAGAGTAAGTGTTGCAGATGTATCTGCTTCATGCTATTAACACGCCTAGGCTCTTGTATGGTTTGCGACCCACTTCAAGGACCTGGCTACTATCATGGGTGAGCGTGCTGGAGTTCTGAATCTGCATCTAGCAGTTGAGGTAAGCTGTGTCCGTTTCTGTCTGAGCACGTAACTTACCGCTGTAGATTGGAAATGAGCACAGCATGACAATGCTCTATAAAGCAACTCAGGGCGTTGCCAAAGAAGCACACTATGGTCTGAAGCTCGCCCGCGTTGTACCATTGCCTCCTGGACTTGTAGAGCATGCTACAGCTATCGCGCGCAAGGTAGAGCGGCATGCGCTCCAAAATAAGAAAGCATCAGAAACAGTACTCAAAGAGAAGCGACGCAAGCTCATCCTCAACCTCAAAGAGCACCTCATCCAGGCATATAACGGCGTACTAGAGGGAGAGGTTCTCACTGCATGGCTCAAGGAACTGCAAAAAGAGTTTGTGAACCGCATGGTCACGCTTGAAGCTGAAGCTGAAAATGCAATCAACGAGACTGAAGAGGATCAGGACGAAGAAATGGGGGACGGGAGTACATGCGAAGAAGAACGCTCAAGGACAAATGATAGTCAGTCGTCGATCATGTCAATCGACTCGCATATCACGTCGACAGAGTCCGAGTCTACATTTCGAGCAATGTCCGAGGCATCAACCGTACGTGCGGTTTCTGAAAACGAGTGTTGAGAGGGTCCATGTGGGAGAGTTTGCAGCTGCAAAAAGACACTACTAGCAGAGACAATACCAGAAGATCAAAATGAATTCAGACCACATGAATACGCACAAAGCCCTTTGTTCTGCCGCGTGAATTAAGACACACCCCAGGGGTTGCTGGGGTGGGGGCAGCATCTCCAATCAGCGCGCAGGCAGCTCCGATTCCCCGATGGTTAGTTTCGTCACTTTCCAGGGACACCTTACTACCTTGCCTCCGCTACGCAACGCCCCAGTCCGCCTTGCAACATCGCGCAAGGCTCCACCGTTTAGCGGAGGAACCGAGGAGAGCCTTCTTACGATGGCGTGAGCATCTGATTCTCTTTGACGAATGCCAGGAGCTAACATAGACTTGCCAGGCGTACAATTCGGAGCCATGCGCTCGAGAAACTCGCCCGGCTGTCTGCTCAGTCGTCCTCGGCGGAGACAGCGGGCTCAGAATTTGGACGAATGTTGAAGCGATTCCCAGCTGCATCCAATGCGATGAAGCTGCAAGAGCTCGAGGCGATCCTGGCTCTGTGCAAGTCTGCCCCCTATATCGAGTCGTTGGATGTTGCCGACAAGCTGCTTGCACGCCTCTCACCGTACCTCACCGCATCGTATGCGCAGACGTTTGCGCCGTCACCCAGCCTCCGTACCATCGAGCCTACCCCCCACGAGTCCCTCACGTATAACCTCACGTCTGCCGTGCTCTCGCTAGGCTTGCGACATGGACAACTCCGCACACAGGCCACCGTTGCGCTCGAAAGCTATCTCACAGGCTGGGCCACAGCAGCCGTCGAACTATTGGAACAACAATTTGTCGATGACGGTGCAGATGACTACGGCGTAGATGGCGAGCTGGCTCAGGTCATGACACATAGCCTGTCGCTTTTGGGTTTCCTCGGTGCTACTGCAGAGCACGTGTATTTCTGGGACGCATACGATAGGCTGCAGCTTGTTCAGAATGTCCGGACGACCTTGACCGAGAAGTTCCTGATTGCCTTCGAAACGGTGCTGTCTATAGTGCGTAATGCGCACTCACACCAACACGAGCTGCGGGAATGGAAGCGATACACTAAGCATTATGCCGCCGCTGGGCGGCCACTTGGCGCCATGATCTTGCACGACTCATTCCTAAAGCTTGTCCTTGCTTCAGCCTCTCAGCTGGTTGGAACGAGGAAGCAGCTTACATCGCAGAGCTCTGTCCTCGACCACTTGCAGACTTGGCTAGAGAACAGGGACCATCTGTCTATGAGAATGGCAGCCGAGAACTCCCTGGCCGAAGGATTGACCAAGATTGCAGCCGAGGAAATGGAGCGGTTGGAAAATGATCTAGAATACCTCCAGCGAGTTGGGTCTGCGTGGCAACAGCAACAGGCATCGTCGGTCAAAGCAAAAGTACTCGTCACATACCTCTGCTGTACCGTGTACGACAACGATACCGACATCACTGACGCTGAGGTTCTGAGTGCATGGCTTGACAATGTGCTCAATGATCCTGCGCAGAGTTCGGACCATGAGCTGGTGTCTGCAGTTCTGAAAATAATGGCTATTCTGGCCAAGGTCTCGCCACAGCTAGCATCAAGCCTGGGGCGCTCGCTGCCTCGCGTCATTGTTCAAGCCAACTTTGATCATCGAACAACTTCAGTGGCGGCAGAGTCTCTGGCTGCAGTCCTTAGTCGTCTTCCCCAAGATGCTATCATCACAACTCTTTATAGCCTCGGAAACGTGATTAGCGTGGCTCCTGCGTCTGAGCGAAACACGTCTGCTTCGCCCACATTGAACGGCAATAACAGGACGGCAAAGGCAGGCGGTGTTTATAACCACCAGAATGGCAGCACGATCTCTCTCGCTCCTAGCGACGTTGACGAGCCCCACCATGTGCACACGACTGTGGTTGAGACGATTGTATCAGTCGCTCGAAATTGCAAGGACACCAAGATCACTGCGCTTGCACTGTCCATGCTTGTGCAAAAGGTTGGGCGTTCTGGCAAGGTAGTCGATGCGAAGATCATTACCGATACAGCTTTTCTGGGTATACACAGCCCGCCCGGGGAATTCAAATCGCTGCTCAAGGTTTACACCAAGATTTCCCATGATGCCCTGGTCTCTGATGACAAGTCAAGGCTTGAAGCCGTGAGTTTATTCCAAGTATAGCTACTTTACTTTGGCTAATGTCTTTTCTAGGTCATGGCCGCGCGGCTCAATCTCTCCAAGGAGATAAATGCTGGAGAGCCCGCTTTCGAAATCTACCTTACGCACTTGCTGGACACGATTGTGAGCAAGGGAGATGCGCAAGAAACATCTCATCGTCATCTTCGAGACACGGAGCTTGCGGCACAGGAAATTGCGCAACTGCTAAAGCCACTTGCAGTCCTGCTCGCAAGGAATGCGGAACGGGCCGAGTATGCCGAACTTGATGACTCTATTATCGGCCTCCAGCGCGATGCCTGGTTCAATATTGTTGTCCATGGATTTGACTTGCTCTCTGATCTGGGCAAACAATACCGCGAAGAGTTGCGTACACTTGCACGGTATAGCAAGCCCCTGATTACCGAAGAACGACCCTTTCTTTCAGAAAGCGACATCGAATTGAACACGGTTTTGCGTCGCGGCAAATCGCCTGAGCATACCATCGAGCAGAAGAAACGCCTTGGCAAATTGCTTCCATCGTGCGAGGCTGACACAAAGTCACTCAGTTATCAGGAGTCAGTTTTCTTGAGCACTGCGTATCTGGTGGAAGACCTACGAGCTAGCACCGGTGATTGCACCAAGGCGCTTGCTTACTTTCTCGACCCTAAGCTACGGACAGGGGCAGTGGGCAACTGCATGTCTGCTATCAACACGACAGCTGTTCGAACTTACCTGGCAAAAACCTTGTCTGGACAGTCACACACCTTCTCGACGCCGTATCTGGCAAAGCAACTAGCTACCATGTTCTCAGCATGTTGTCATCGCATTGCACGTGTTCAGCAAGCGGCAGCCACTTGCGCAGATATTGTCATTCGGGAAGTGCCGTCTACCTTGTGCCAGAAGAGTGCGCTGTTTGCCCTTTTGGAGCTTCTTTCAATCATGTGGTATAGTTGCCTCGAAGGCGAGACGGACGAATATACTTGGAAGTCGACTTTCAGATCTAAGCGATCCAACATCGCCGTCGAGTTGTCGGATGACTACGCGTTTCGGCGAGCAACTCTCGACGCGTTGCATAAGAAAGCAACCGTTTGGGTCAAAGGAGCAATCGATATTGCTCCTCTCGACGTTAAGGGACTCCTTCAGTCGTACCTCTCAGAGTTTGAGGATGAGATGACGTTTGGCCATATTTCCTTGGGAAGGTCTTTTGCTCTCGAGATGGGCTCCGTTATCCCATCCACCGACCAGCGTCTTGGCGCTGTTGAACGACAGGGCATCAACATCAATACAGCGTCAGATTTCATTACTCAGTATACTACAAGGCAAGAGTACAAGTTCCTCGACGGCGTTGCGGACCAGGAAGAAGAATGGCTCAAAGGCGCACCGACTTCGGATTCTAGGTCTACGTATCTATCACGAAGCTTACATGAGGCGACCGCCCTTTTGGTGGACCTGGAAAGCCGCACATTGGGTCACAAGCATGTTACCATTGCCGAGCTTCGCGACATACTTCGAAAGGCTGCTGCCTTGTTGTGCCGGGTCAAGAATGATCAGTCACCAATTGTCCAGCACCTGGTTGGCATACCATTTGCAGTGTTCTCGAAGCAATCCATTAAGCTTGGCATCTCACTTTGGACCAGCGTTGCCAAAGAGAACCCTCGCATGGAGTCTCGGATTCTTATTGCCATTGCTGAAAACTGGGAGAATACGGTGCGCAAGCGTCGTGGTATCTTCAGCCCTGCATTGAAGTGCGTCCCATCATTATAAACACAACAGCATCCTTGCTAACACTATACACAGACACGCGGATCCCTTTTACGGTAAACAAGAGTTCGCTGCGACTGACAAGGAGGCGTTGTCAAAACGCCAGCAGCATATTTACAACCTCATCGCTCCTCACTTCCGCCTGCTGCAATTCTTGTCTAGTCACTTTAACGCATCCCGATTGAGCAAGGCGGATGTCGAATGCGTCTATGTTCGATTGATGCACATCACGCTCGATGCGATGAGTGCAGGGTGCTCGCAGCCTTTGGCTCGTGAATCCTATTTCCATATTATCCTGCTCGGACTGCGTATTGCACGCCACAGTACCACAATCTCATCAACTATCAAATGGCGATTGACTGATCGTATCCTGACTGCTGCTTTGGCGTGGTTTGCGAAAGCTCCTCAGTAAGTATCTTGTGATAACCAAACTGCATGCATTTACTAATGAGAACAGGTGGTCATTTGGAGGCAACAGACTGCAAATCAAGGCCGAGACACATGTTCTCGCAGATGTCCAGGTGCAAATCGAACATCTTGGAAAGGTCACCACTGCTGTTGATATCGGGTCAAAACTGAAGGCGAAGCAAGACTTGTTGTCTCTACTCGTTTCGAATGAGCAGTCTCGCCTCACTGTGTGGCTGTTCCCTCTTGACAACGGCAAGAAGCACCACTTCATCACTGGGCGTCACAACAATACAATCCCTGATGTAAGTTTTTGTTTCTCCAAGAAGCGACCTAAGCTAATTGCTCAGGCCGCTGTGACCGCCCATTTGAAGACGGCCTGGGCCGAGAACCCTGGAATCGCCGTGCATATGCTCAAGCGCTTCCAGTCCCAGCGCTTGAGCAATGAAGTTAGGTGGCAGGTGCTTAACTTTCCACAAAAGGTGCTAGACGAGCCAGATGCGCTAGAGATACTTTTGGGCAACTCACTACCAGCCGATGTGTCCTTCCAGCTCAAGGTATGTATAGCCCTAACAATGCTTTGCTTTTCTAACTTTGCCAAGTACATGCTCTACTGGGCTCCTGTAAACCCCATCACAGCTGTCACGTACTTCTTGCCGGCGTACGGCAACCACCCCTTCATCATCCAGTACGCAATGAGGGCGTTGGAGAGCCACTCGGTAGATGTCATGTTCTTCTACGTCTACCAGATTGTGCAAACTCTTCGGTATGATGTTCTGGGCTATGTTGAGCGGTACATTATCGAGACAGCCAAGTTTTCACAGTTGTTTGCTCATCAAATCATCTGGAACATGAAGGCGAACGCATACAAGGACGAGGCTGCCGAGATTCCCGATCCAGTAAAGCCCACTCTGGACAAGGTTATGAGCAGTCTCGAGTCAAGTTTCTCCGAGGAAGACCATGCCTTCTACGAGCGCGAGTTTGCATTCTTCAACGAGGTCACAGGTATCTCGGGAACTCTACGCTCCGTTTTGCACGAGCCCAAGGAGGTCAAGAAGCAGAAGATTGAGGAAGAACTTCGCAAGATCAAGGTTGAGGTAGGAGTCTATCTTCCTTCCAACCCTGACGGCCAAGTCATTGGTATCGACCGCAAGTCCGGCAAGCCACTGCAAAGTCACGCAAAGACGCCATTCATGGCTACCTTCCGTATCAGGAAAACGAAGCCAGAGATCCAAAGTCTCGAAGAAGTTGAAGAGGATGACCGCGAGGTCGCCCAGAAGAAGGACAATACCTATGAGACATGGCTGTCTGCCATCTTCAAGGTCGGAGATGACTGTCGTCAGGACGTGCTTGCGCTGCAGATGATCGCTGCCTTCCGCGGTATCTTCAACACCGTAGGTCTAGACGTCTGGGTATTCCCCTACCGCGTGACGGCGACGGCACCAGGCTGCGGAGTCATCGACGTCCTTCCCAACTCCATCTCGCGCGACATGCTCGGTCGCGAAGCCGTCAATCGTCTCGACGACTACTTTGTTTCTCGCTACGGCAACGAAGACTCAATCCGGTACCAGGAAGCGCGCTCCAACTTTGTCAAGTCCATGGCCGCATACTCGGTCATCAGCTTCCTGCTGCAGTTCAAGGACAGACACAACGGAAACATCATGATTGACGACGCCGGCCACATCATCCACATCGACTTTGGCTTCTGCTTCGACATCGCTCCCGGTGGCATCAAGTTCGAGCGCGCCCCGTTCAAACTTACCGCCGAAATGATCGCCGTCATGTCCGGCAAGAATGCGCAGAACCCGTACACGTCGCAGGCGTACCGCTGGTTCGAAGAACTCACCGTCAAGGCGTACTTGGCTAGCAGACAGCATTGCGATCACCTGTGCCATGTCGTACAAGTCATGCTGGATAGCGGGTTGCCGTGCTTCAAACCCGAGTCTATGCGTAACTTTAGAGATCGCTTCGTGTTGGACAAGAGCGAGAGGGAGGCGGCGGAGTACATGCGCGGACTGATTGAGAAGAGCAGATCGAGTTATTCGACGGGAACATACGATCGGTTCCAGCTTATCACAAACGGAATTCCGTATTAGACAGGGTAAATAGGCAGGGTTGGTTGGTGGCGCTTTTACTTTTCTTACATACTTACATACATACATACATACACATATTTATAATCATCAATTTTTTGGCCCTCGTTCTCTACTAACCCCTGATTTCTTTTTTTCCTTTTGACAAATTTACGAACTGTCTGATACCTCGCTATCCCTGACCCTCTTCTTCAACCCCGTGACCGTCTCCACATGCTCGGTGCTGAGTACAGCTGTCTTGACAAACAAGCTTGTCACGAAGCTCAAAAACGCCAGAACCGTATACGTAATCCACATGTTACGCATGGCATAGGCAAACGCCTGTTTAGCAGCAAACTCCCACGCTTTGTTGTCCATTGTACTCGGCAACATGACGTTGGCAAGGGCATTCTCGCCATCAAGTAGCTCACGCAGGTGCTGCGGGAGTCCTGCATCGCGGAGAAAAGACTGCTGAGCATCCATTGAATTCTGGATGATTGTGCCGCCGACAATGGTGGAAATGGCGACGGCAACGTTGCGTATGAATGAGAGCGTGGCAGTTGCGCTCGCAACATCGTGCTGCTGAACTTGACTTTGTATCGCGATGAGCGGGGCCTCGAAAAGCACGCCTGAGCCCAGACCGCCGATGATGAGGAAGCCGATGGTAACGGCCGTGGATGTGGTTGCCGAGAAGGAAATAAAGAGGCCGAAGCCAATGGTCAGGAGAAGAGTTCCCAGCCACATGATCTGCCGGAAGTGGCCCGTCCGGTGCATGATTACGCCGCACGCGACGCCGGCGAGAGCGCCCGTGACGATGAAGGGGAGAAGAAGGAGACCGGAGCGTAAAGGCGAGGCTTCAAGCACGGACTGGAAGAAGAGCGGCATATAGTATTCCGCAGCGATAAAGGCGAAGCCGTGGAAGAAGACGACGGAGAGCACGGCGACGTTTGTGCGGCGCCGGAACAGGCTCATGGGGATGAGGGGGTACTTTGCGATTTTGGCTTCGCTGTAGATGAAGGCAAGGAGCATGGCGCCGCCGACGGAGAGAAGTACAATGACTTTTGCTGACGCCCACGGAAACAGCACGCCGCCGAAGTCGAGACCCAGAAGCAGGAGCAGCGTGCAACTGAGGAAGGTCAGGATACCGAGCCAGTCTACGGCGAGCAGGCCGTCGATTAGCGATGTATGCTCGTGCCTGATGTCGAGGGAGAAGAGGATGAGGACGGAGGCAACGCCGCTAATGGGGAGATTGATGTAGACTTTTAGATGCAGTGTTAGTACATACGGTGCAACGAAGACGATTAAAGTAAGGAATACTCACAGCACCATCTCCACGAGACCAAACTCGCAAACAAACCTCCCAGCACCGGTCCCACACCCCCGGCCAAAGCCCAGATGCCCTCTGTAAATCCCATGAGCAAGCTGCGCTGCCTCAAGCTAAACATGTCACTGATGCAAACGTGCACAAGCAAAATCAACCCTCCACCCGCTGTGCCCTGGAACGCGCGCCCGATGATTAATTCCTGCATTGTTTTCGCGGTAGCGCAGACGGCCGAGCTAACGAAGAAGAGGGCCAGAGCAGCCAGCGTGATGAGCTTGCGGCCCCAAATGTCAGAGAGCGAGGCCCAGATGGGGCCCGAGGCGGCGTTGGCAAGGAGGTACGCGCCCCCGATCCAGGTGTAGCCTGCGGCAGAGGAGAGGTCCCGGGATATAGTTGGGGCGGCTGTAGCGACGATGGTGGCGTCGAGGGCCGAGACGAAAAGGGCGAGCTGGGGTAGAGCGTTAGTAGGCCAGTTGCGGCTTGAAAGAGAGGCGTAATGCATGTATTTTGGGTTCCAGGCTCTTCCTCTTGCTCATGCTTTTTTAGCCATGACTCGTATATACAAATGGAGTATTGGTTGAGAATCGAGGTAGCAGATGACGTCTTCATGGGACAGAGAGAAATCGGGATATGGAAACGGGGTAGTGGCCTACAAATAACGCTGTGATGATAGCAGCTAGTCGTATTTTACTCCTCTTTCTCACGCCTCCTTCTTCTGTTGAAACATCACGTTCCATTTCGTTGGCTGGTTCTGGTCCTGACGCGACAACTTCATCTTTTGCTGGGGCCGCAGGGGGTGCATGCTGGATCTGTAGCTCGTGCTCCATGTCTCCTTTTTTGTTCTTTTTGCTCAAACCAAGATAAAGATAATGTATATTTATTACTAAATCTTCAAGCCTGCATCTTCAGGCGAGGGCAATGGTAACGTGTATTCCCCAGACGCGCCGTCTGAGTCAGGGAGGGATGGCTGTGGCTCTTATACGCAGCAAAGGCCTTTTTTTTCTGCCGCGTCACCGCCAAATGCATGGTTCGTATTGCATAGAGAAGTGGGGCAGGCTAGACTAACCCGCCTGCTTGGCACGGTTAGACTAAGCCCCTTTTCTCCATGTCAAGATGCATGCGCGGGGTCGTCGAGCGTACATGTAGTCGGATGGACGGGGCAGAAAGTCGAGGCGGTGTTGAGGCGGTGTTGACGAGGTGTTGAAAGAAAGGTCGTCAAGGTGTCACGAACTGCTTAGCCCAACGCGGGGTATGTTGAGCCGCGGGAACTAGCCCGATCTGGGCCTTGGCACATGTGCACTGAAATAACGTGTTTTCGTCCGATATCTACAGCCACATGGCTCAGGCCACCAATGGAAGGGCAGTGGCTGTTAGGCATCCATCGTCGCATGCTGCTCTGCCTGATAAACGGTATGTAGTGCACTGGCTTATCAGCTCATGGACACTTGACGGACGAAATGGGAACGCTGAACATGATAAATATATGTGTGGTGGTATGCACTCGAGCCTGTTGGATAAGAAATACTCATACATAGCCACTTGGCTGCATCCGCTGTTCTTTGTTGAATATTCCCTCATACCCTAGTACAAGCAGCAACAGAATCCAGGCCACAACCACCGAGTCAAAATGGCAATGATTGTCAAAGTTCTCAAGGACAAATGGGTGTCCCCGCCGAAAGAACCGCAAGAATCGTTTGCAGGACGTACGATTATGGTCACCGGTGCCACTAGTGGAATCGGTCTTGCAGCCGCCGCCAAATACGCCTCTTTAGGCGCCGCCAAAGTCATCATCACTGCTCGCGACAAGGCCAAAGGCGACCAGGTTCTCGCTGAACTCGAAGAGAAAACAGGCCGAAAGGAATTGTTCGAGGTATGGGAGCTAGACATGAATTCATACGACAGCATCGTCGCATTTGCAAAACGGGCCAACGGCGTTGATCACTTGGATGTCGTAGTCCTCAACGCTGGAGTACGCCGAAGTCCCTTCACGCTGTCAAAGTACGGGTGGGAAGAGGATGTTCAAGTCAACGTTCTATCCACGACACTGCTTGGCATTCTTCTGCTACCAAAATTAAAGCAATCCAACCGCGGCACCACCATTCCCATACTTGAGTTTGTAAACTCAGGACTCCATGCAACGGCAGAAGTGGACGACAATGTGCGCAACAGTCCAAGCATCCTCGCAGAATACAGCAAACCCGAGCGGTTCAGCGCTCAGAAGCAATACGCGCATTCAAAGCTGCTGCTCATGTTTGCAACAATCAAGCTCGCAGAGGCAACGCCGTCCAACCAAGTCATCATTACGTCAGTATGTCCAGGCATGGTTGCGACCAATCTGGGTCGTGACATCAAGTTCCCAGGCATTTCTGTCATCCTAGCAATTATGCGGCTGCTACTCTCCAAAACACCAGAGCAAGGCGCCTGCATCTATGTTAGCGGCACGGCACAAGACGAAAGGCGACACGGCCGCTTTTGGAGCACCGACGCAGTGCAGCCCGTTGCTCCTAATCTGAGGGGCGAGGAGAATAAGAAGCTTGCGGCGCGTGTGTGGGACGAGATTGTAGAGGCACTGGTCAAGGATGTGCCTGTGGTCAAGCAAACTTTGGCGACGATGATGTCAGGAGGGGCTCTGTCAAATGGGAAGGCCAGGGCCTGAACTGGCAGGTGTTTACTTCTAGTGCTGTAATGGAGTAACGTGCAGGGTCAGTAAGCTGGGCAGATCAGTAAGCTGGGCACCCCACCAAACTTGACGCGACGCTCTACACAACCACCACCATGCCGCGACAACAACGTTCTATACATACTTCTCGTGAAGGCAGAATAAGCCTTGCTATCGCGTCTTATCGTAATAATCCAAAACAATCTATCTGTGCTCTTGCAAAAGCATATGATGTGCCACAATCAACACTACATACTCGCGTTCATAGTACTCAGCCACGACTAGAGCTACGGTCTGTTAACCGTAAGCTATCGTCCATTGAAGAGCAGTCCCTTGTGCAGTGGATCCTAGACCTTGACCGTCGTGGTTTTCCACCCCATATTATCGACGTACGACGGATGGCAGACGCGTTACTCGCCGCGCGTGGCCAAGATCCACCTCCACAACCTGTAGGCAAGAAATGGGTGTCGCGCTTTATCCAGAGCCAGCTAGAGCTTCAG